TTTGATGATGCATGGATGAGAAAGTCATGTGAAAGATCTTGACCAAAGTCAAAACAAATAGGTGTTCCACGACCAGTTCGATGTTCATTTGAGAGACGATATCGATCATATGGTAATGACAAAGGCTGATCAAGTTTACAATCATGAAGAACATCAAGCCAAAACATACTTGCGCCAGTCATTGACATTTGTTGTTCAATAACAGCATCTATTATATAATCGAACAAAACAATGTATTAGACAAAAGAGGAAAATACAAGAAATCTTTATATTTACAGTCGAGATAACGAAGATTAGTGTCGTCATCATATAATAATTGACCTGTTGTATATGCTTGATTGAGATCATGAAGAAAGATATTCATTGATGGAAAATCAAACAAAGCATGATGAAAATTGAAAATAAGTAGATCTTTGTGAGAAAGAAGATGATTTGAGGAGATTGATTTGTAATAAATGAGATGACATTGAAAGACATGACCCTGAGCAGCATCAAAAAGATGAGGATTACATTTCTCGTCATGTAAAATCTCATTCAGTTGTTCAACGGTTTGATAAGTGCTTTCAGCAAATGTAAATAGTTGTCTATTATTATTATTCATATCAATGATTTGTTGTATGAGTCGATCGTTTTCGGTATAAAAAGTGAGTGATGTTCGAAGAGATTCATGTTTTGTAACAATTAGGTGAAGAGCATGACGAAGATGTTGTGCCGATAAAGTATGATGTGAGTCGAGAGAATAAACAAAAGGCACGTTGTAGATTGGTACTTGTGATATGTGAGGAGTGAAATGAACACATTCATTATGCCATAGTCGAAGTTGTACAAATGATGCTGGTGCTATATAAAAGAGAAGACAATCAAATACGATTAATAATATTACTTGTGAAATCTATTGAGCTAGACAAAAGTTCAATCGATCACATAAAGTCGTATTGTAAGCGAAAAATGACGCTTGAGTCACAAATGCTGGTTTTCAAAATGAAAAGAACACAAATCGTAGAAGATTTTACCCTACGACATAGTCGTCTACAGGAAAACCATCTGAAAAAATGGATTCATGTTGGTATATATGAGAAAAATCTTGAGGGTGGATGTGAGTATAGGTATGTTTATGAATGACGAATCCACATCCACATCCATTCATAGTCACACACCCACCCTATGGTTGAGCACCGCTTCGCGGATAATCCGAGCGATATAAAAAGTCATATCCTTAATGATATCACTGTACAATGTATTCATTCTCAATATTAATGTTCATTAAAAAAAACTTTGTCTAGATAAATATACCTTCGTTTATAATATATGATTGTCGACAAAACATAATATCTTCCATTTCTTGACTTTCTTCTGGTAGAATAAGATCAAATTTCGATATAGATGTAAAACATGTATCAATTCGATTGATAATTTCATCTGATGAAAAAAGTTGTTGAAAACAATATTCTAATCTGCGACCTATATTTGTGACTGTAATCTCATCAAACAGATCATGTGAACAAGTTAAACGAAATGATAATCTATTATTTTCAAACATTGGATTATAGACAAATGTTAACATAAAATCAAACTTAGCCACTTCAAACGATTGTTCAAATGACACTTGTTTAAAATCTGCTCCATCCAGAGATAATTCTTCGCTGTGTGACGATACAGTAATAAAGTCATACATTGTTTCGAGAAATGAAATATTTGATTGATTAATATGCAAATCAGCAAGAATATGTTGAAGTGGATAATGTGAATGTTCAAGAATTGATATACATTTTTCTTGTACATATTTAACAAGATCATCAAATGACCAATGAGGATCAATTTGAATACGATATGGTAATGTTGAAACAAACATTCCCATTATATTCTGCAGTTCATTTCGGTATCGATTAGCATTAAGACAAGAAATACATAAATCATCATCACCATGTGTTAACTTGAAAAGAAAAGCATATAATATAGTTAGACCCAACTGGAATGGTGTCACATGGTGTATAGAAGCATAATCAAGAAATGCTTGTGATATCTCGTTGTCAAAAGAGATCTGACTGATAGAAGCAGAAGTCGATCGATGATCAGTAGACAAACGGTGTCGATCAACTGGTAGTAATAATCGATATACGAAATTGTATTCTTCTAATTGTAAATACCAAAACTCACGAGATGTTGTCATATCAATTAGACGTTCATGTATACTATAATCAATATATTGCAATGATTCATCATCATCTTCTTCTGATATTGCATTAGTATTACAGGCTAAAGATAGATCCTTAAAAAAGATCGAAGAACTTGCTCTATCAAATGCTGCATGATGAAAAGCAATGAGGAGAACATCAGCATTAGTTATGAACTCATTGTTATTATTTTCATTTTCATTTAAAGGGATTTGATGTTTCAGAATTTCAGCATGAAAAACACGACCAACTGATAAATCGAAGAGATTAGGATTAATCGTTGTTTGGTAAATAATATCTCGAAGTTCGTTTTCGTTTTGAAATGTTCGATTCATAGTTATTGTGAATGTTTTATGTATATCTGTAATGCATTGTTTCAAAATACCATTATCATTATTAAATACAAGAGATGTACGTAAAATTTTCTGTTTATTCAAAACATATCGAAGTGCTTGCAATAAACGATTGAATGATAATGATCCTTGAACAACTTGTAAAGTAAACAGTTCATTATAGATAGCAATATCACTCGAAAAACGAACTTGTTCATCAAGAAATATACGTTCTTGAGCAAAGGAGGCAATACCTGTGAATTAAGTAATAGAAATTATTTTAATAATATCCTAGTATTATTTCTACCTTCATTTATATGTAATGTGTGCCATTGTGTTGCCTTGACATAATTTATTATAACTGTTTGAAGTAATTGTGAATGTTGAAATATAGTTGGTTGTTGAAGAAATGGAGCAATCGAAAGTGAATGAGTATCAAAGTTAAATACTGATTGATAATGATGATAAAGTTCAATAAATAAAAGTGAATGGCCACCCACACTGAAAAAGCTTGTATTTTTGAGAATATGATTTTGATTACAATGAAGAACTTGACACCAAATAGTGTGTATACGTTCTTCGAACTGATTAAGAGGAGTATCAGATTGATCGGGTGATAACGAAGTTGGTAATGAAAAGTCGGGCGAAGGAAGTTGTTTTCTGTCTACTTTTCCATTTTGATTGAGAGGTAGTTTGTCAAGAATAATAAATATGGATGGAATCATGTGTGGTGGAAGATGAGATTGACAATGTTCACGTAGTTCTTCTTCATTCGCATGGAAAGATTGAATATAAGCAACTAGATGGTCATCATTCCATTTCATGACAACACAAGCAGATATGGATGTAATGTTAAGTAAACATCGCTCTATTTCACCAAGTTCAATTCTTTGTCCATGTAATTTGATTTGATGATCTTTTCTTCCTTGATAATGAAGAAGGCCGTTGTTATTCATTCTAACAAGATCACCTGTTCGATAAAATAGTTCACCATCTATTTCAAGAAGAGCTTTTGCAGTTAAATCATCACGTCCAAGATAACCAGCAAAGACACCAACACCTCCTGCAAACAGCTCACCTTCTTGATTCGTGATTGATTGTTGTGAATATTCATTCATAATCATGCATCGGTAATTAGAAAATGGTGTACCAATTGGAATGCCCTGTATAGTATTTGTAACGTTGATAGAATGAACTGTGCAATCTATAGTTGCTTCGGCTGGACCATACAAATTCCATACAACACAGTTGATTATGCCAATTTTGACAATCAAATCAATTAAAGGAACAGAAAAAGGTTCACCTACAACAATAAACATACGCTAGATAAGCAAACAAAATCACTTCGAAAGTCACTTACCACTGCTGCAAAGTGATCGAAGATGTTTCAAGACATTGTGATTGTTATTCTGCTCGACCGAAGTAAAAAAAGCTATGCAGTAAACTTGGAACAGTATGTAGATATGTAATTTGTTTGTTCTGTAAGGTTTCAGATAAATAATCAAAATCAATCATTCCACCTGGATGAAGCATAATCAATGTGCCTCCAGCTAACAATATACCAAGGATTTCTTGAACATGAATATCAAATGAACAACCTGTCATTTGTACAACTGTATCATTTTTATTAAATGAGTTAATATATGCCAATGAATGCATACAATCAATAAAGTTCTTATGTCGCACTTGAACCTATGAAAAAACATAAAAATTAATCCGAAATTAGCGAATTAAGTGAAAACGAACCGCTTTGGGTGTTCCAGTTGAACCACTAGTGAAAATAATGTAGGCTATCTCTTTGCCTTTCACTTTCACATTTGAAAGGCAATTATAATTTATGTCACTATTTATATTATTGACATTTAATATTGAATCAATATCAAGTGATACAATATCATCATAGAACTTCGTCGTAGTTAAATGATGAACAAGAACAAGACGACTTTGAGTCTGCTCTACAAGTGCATGCAAACGATGTTGTGGATCTCGAGATGACAATGGACAATAAACACCACCACTCATTTCAATTGCCATTATACCAATCACCTAATCAGAAATCAATTTCAAACTCACATCACTCGTTACTCATCTTAATTAACTTACCATTGACAAACTTCGCTCAACACATTGACATACGATCTCACCAGGAAACACATGATATTCATTAAGAAGAGTCAAAGATAATATTTGTATATAATGCAACAGCTCACAATATGTCAATGATTGTTCATCAAGTTCAACAGCTAGTTTTTGTGGATGTTTCATTACTTGATATACAAACTCATGATGAATACAAGTGACAGAAGATGGAAATGATACTTGTGTATTATTTAATGATTGCATTAGATATCGTTCATTTGATAATATTATTGACAATTCATGAACAGGTTTGTTTGGTGTACAATCAAAAGATGTGAATTGCTGATGTAACATTGTCTGTAATCGTTGCGCAATTATACAAACAGTTTCAGCATTAAATAAATCAACTGATGCATTGATTGTGCATGAAAATTCATTTAGATTGAGATCATGTTGAAAACTAAGAATAAAATCAAATTTACTCATTACTTCATCCCCACCAATTTTAATTGAATAAGGTAGTAAAGAATATCGACTATCTCCAATCATTATTTCATTTTCTTCATCTTTTTTCATAGATGACACAAAGTCAAATGATGTATCAAGAAATACAGGATTTGATATATTAGGATGTTGATTGAGAATACGCTGAAGTGGAAAATAAGAATATTTAATATAGTTTATCATGTTATCTTGAACGTGTTTGGTCAGTTGATGGAATGATAAATGAGGATCAAGTTGACATCGCAAAGGTATAGCATTCACAAACATTCCAATGATAGAGTTAAGTTCATCTCTATATCGACCATGTGTATTTATTCCAATGCATAGATCTTTTTCTCCATTGGTTAATTTGAATAAAAACACATAATACGTAGCAAGTGCAAGTTGTTCTAGTGATATGTTGTTTGATGATGCATGGATGAGAAAGTCATGTGAAAGATCTTGACCAAAGTCAAAACAAATAGGTGTTCCACGACCAGTTCGATGTTCATTTGAGAGACGATATCGATCATATGGTAATGACAAAGGCTGATCAAGTTTACAATCATGAAGAACATCAAGCCAAAACATACTTGCGCCAGTCATTGACATTTGTTGTTCAATAACAGCATCTATTATATAATCGAACAAAACAATGTATTAGACAAAAGAGGAAAATACAAGAAATCTTTATATTTACAGTCGAGATAACGAAGATTAGTGTCGTCATCATATAATAATTGACCTGTTGTATATGCTTGATTGAGATCATGAAGAAAGATATTCATTGATGGAAAATCAAACAAAGCATGATGAAAATTGAAAATAAGTAGATCTTTGTGAGAAAGAAGATGATTTGAGGAGATTGATTTGTAATAAAT